GAAACGGAGTATAAAATTAGGGAAGTTTTGCTAAATCCATACATTGCATGAGTCAGACTGCAGCTGGAATACTGTGAACAGTTTCTGGCCCCTTATTTATAGGAAGATAGACTGGCATTGGAGGCATTTTGGATCTGCTCCTTGTAGATGCTGAAAGGTTGTTTTCCCCCTTATGAGAGTGTCTGGGACCAGGGGACATAATCTCAAAATAGGGGATTGCACAATTAAGACAGAGATGAGGAGAAATTTCTTCTGAGGGTAGTGAATCTGTGGATTTTTTTACTGCAGACAGCCGTTGTGGCTGAGTTTGCATATGCAAATAGTATGCCTTAATATTGCCTTAAGCATATTCAAGGCTGAAGTAGAGAGATTTTTCATCAGTAAGGGAATCAAGCATCACGGAAAAAACAGGAAATTGGAATTGAGGATTATCAGATCAGTCATGATGACATTAAATTGCAGAGTAGATTCGATGGGCTGAATGGCCTACTTCTCTTTTGTCTTAGGGTCTTCAAAGACTGTGGGGTGTACTTACATTACAGCAGTTAGCAAAAGGACACTTATAATCATCTTGAAAGCTTTTAGGGCTGGGGAATAGTCCCCCACCCTTACTTCAGAAGTCTGTCTCATACACCTTTCAACTCCCTGTAATAGTTTTACATTTACTGCAACAGGGGCACAAAAATTGAAGGCTCCACTCCAAAGATCCTGTCTTCTGGTTTAATTATACATCCTGACATTCCAATTACTTTCATAGAGTGCTCGCAATCGTGAGCCAAAACATTTAAGAGTAGAGATGGGTAAAGAATCATTTAGACTTTTACAAAATGTCTTTTGTTTTAGTTTTATTTCAAGAAATGTCAGTTGGTCTGTAATCTGGACTTTTGATCAATATGCCTATTTCTTTGACACTCTAGCTGTGTTAAGCAACATCATCTTTATCCACTGAACCAAACCATTCTACGTGAATTAATGTCCTTACCTGTTACATTGAAGTTGTAGTTCAAAAGCATAGACCTACTAATAATATTCCCACCTCAAATAAAATTATTTAATTATAAACAGCAGTAACCTCAAACTAGTGTTTGATTTTATCAAAACACTGGAGTTCAGCTAAAACCTTTTTATAAAGCTACCTGTAATTCAGCAGTCAAGACTCAAGATTAAAGAATTACAAAAATTTACCAATACCACGACATAGCTTAGGGAGTATCATATGCATTAGTGGAAAAGTTGAGTAGGAGGCCAAATTTTTAACCAGAAAGTAAATGGTTAACTTGTATGAAGGTAATATTTTTGAGGGACTGAAATTACCCTTTCCTGTCTTCTTGCTACCTAACTGTTTATTACAGTACATCACCTCAACAGAGTTGTCAGGTCTGAGATTGTGCCTGTCAATCCCCTTCCGAAAGGAGTCAGTAAGTATTTCAATGATTTTCTGGATAAAGTATTAGCTTCTATGGAGACAGATGTTAACTTGCATTCATTAAATTAATCTAAAACTAAAGCCACATGCATACTTGTGTAATTTCATTGAGCTTTTGTTACAGAAGCAAAAATAACAGAACATGCCTGAACACGTACAAAAATCAATAAAAAGCTGTCTGCTTCTTGGCTTGAGATGAAAATAATGTGTCCCAGTCTCCCAGTGTTGGGCATACATAGTTATATTTGAAAACGATGTGGTAGACTGGAAGATATAGAACTGTTTGAATATCTTCTGTATTCGTTGTAGAGGTGTACAATACAGAAACAGACCCCTCGGCCCAGCTTGCCCATGCCAACCAGATATTCTAAGTAAATCTAGTCCCATTTGCTAGCATTTGGCCCATATCCCTCTAAACACTTCATATTTGTATACCCATCCAAATGCCTTTCACACGTTGTTATTTTACCAGCCTCCTCCTCCTCTTCTGGCAGTTTGTTCCATATATGTGCCACCCTCTGCATGAAGAAGTTGCCCCTTAGGTCTGTTTTAAATCTTGCCCCTCTCACCCACCCTGAGTAAAAGACCTTGACTGTTTACCCTCTCTATGCCCCTCATGATTTTATAAACCTCCACATGTTCAATCCTCAGCCTTCTCAATACATTTGCAGAATCCCTTTGGATTTTCCTTAACCCCATTTGCCAAAGTTATCTCATGTCCCTTTTTGCCCTCCTGATTTACCTTTTGAGTACATACCTACTGTCTTTGTACTCTTCTAGGGATTCACTCGATCTCTGCTGTCTGTACCTGACATATGCTTCCTTCTCTAGTCATCCAGCCTTGCTCTTCACCTTAACAGGAACATACTGCCTCTAGACTCTCATTTATCTCATTTTTGAAGGCTTCTTATTTTCCAGCCTCCCTTTACCTGTGAACACCCTTTTGAAAGTTATTGCTTAATGCCATTAAAATTGGCCTTCCTGCAGTTTAGAATTTTAACTGTTATATCTGGTCTATCCTTTTCCATTGCTATTTTAAAACTAATAGAATTATGGTCACTGGTCCCGCTGACAACTTGGTCACCTGCCTGCCTTATTTCCCAGGAGCAAGTCAAGTTTTGCACCTTCTGTAGTAGGTATATACGCATACTGAATCAGAGAATTTTCCTGTATTCCCCTCCATCCAAGCCATTAACACTATGGCAGTGCTAGTCTGTGTTTGGAAAGTTAATATCTCCTACCATAACCACTTCTTATTATTCTTACAGATAACTGAGATCTCCTCTCAAATTTGTTTCTCAATTTCCCGCTGACAGATATGGGGGTGGGGTGTCTATATACAATCCCAATAAGGTGATCATCCCTTTTCTTATTTCTTAGTTCCACTCAAATAACTTCCCTGATCGTATTCCCAGCAATATCTTCCCTAAGTACAACCGTAATGTTATCCCTAATCAAAAATGCCACTCCCTCTACTGCCTCGCTCCCCTTTCTATACTTCCTATCTCATCTGTACCTTGAAAGGGTATTTTTTTAACCATGTGATTTCATTGAAATTAAGTCAACTGTTTAATGTATGCTTTGTTTTACCTGTTGTTTACAGAAAGTCGTGACTTTGCGAGGGCGGGGGGAAAAAAGCAAGCATTTCTTTTTAGGAAAGTAAAAGATAGAGTTTATGGCCCTTAATACTTGGAAATTCTGGCTTTAAAAAGCTTATGGGGATTTCTCAGCTAATGGTTGTCTGCTAACTCTCTCTGGACTTGGCTGTGTATAAAAAGAAAATTAAGTAAGGAAGAAATACTAGGAGCTACAATTTTCTCTCCCCCTCTGAGGTTTCTGGGATCCTAAATGCTTTCAAATGTCAGTAACTGAAATGCTGAACTGTGGCTACATTTCAAAAATTCAGAACCAGCTCGGTTTCTGAATATGAACTGAAGATCTTTCATTGTCTATAGCTGTCAGCAATTCAGTTTTGCCAATAGGAAACCTGATGGACAACAAAAAGTTATCAAATTATATCATTTGCTTTCAGACCCTTGGCCATCAAAGACTATTTTTATTTTTGTTTACCTTTTTAGAAACATCATCTCTGCAGAGACTGCTGTCTTTTGTGTCGTGTGCATGCGTCTCTGACTCTGTTCGGATTTAAAGGGATATACATCTAATTCTGATTATACCCACAATGTTACACATTTGCCAATTGCTTTAAGAACACATTGTGTTAAAATAAATGGTTTGTTAAATAATCCTGGTGGAAGCCTCTCCTATTAGACTCAGACTGGGTACTGTGTAATGAGAAGGGAATCATTGCCAATCTAGCTGTGCAAGACCCCTTGGGGATGAGCGGGCCATAATATGATAGAATTTTCTTTACCTCACTCTCCATCTGAATAGTTGATTCAGAGACTAGGGTGCTGAATCTTAATAAAGGAAACTATGAAGATATGAGGTGAGAGTTGGCCTTGATAGATTGAAGAGAGTTACTTAAAGGGATGACAGTGGATAGGCAATGGGGATAAAAGGAACGCATGGGGAAACTGCAACAACTATTTTTTCCTGTCTGACAGAAAAGCAGATTGGGTAAGAGGACCAATCCATGGCTTACAAAGGAAATTAGAGATAGTATCCGATCCAAGGAAGAAGCATACAGGTCGGCCAAGAAAAAATATGTCTGACGATTGGGAACAGTTCAGAATTCAGCAAAGAAGGACCAATGGATTGATTAAGAAGGGGAAAATACAGTACAAAAGTAAGCTTGCAGGGAACATAAAGACTGACACTAAGAGTTTCTGTCGGTACGTGAAGAGAACGAGATTGGTGAAGGCAGATGTAGGTTCCCTGCAGACACAAATGGGGAAATGTGTAATAGGGGACAAAGAAATGGCTGAGCGACTGAATACATACTTTGGTTCTGTCCTCACAAAAGAGGACACAAATCAGATACCAGAAATGTTGGAGAATGCATGATTTAGTGAGAATGAAAATTGAGGGAGATCAATATTAGTAGAGAAGTGGTGGTGGGAAAATTGTTGGGATTGAAGGCAGATAAATCCCCAGGGCTGATAATCTACATCCCAGAGTACTTCAGGAAGTAGCTCTAGAAAAAGTGGATGCATTGGTTGTCATCTTCCAGGATTCTAAAGACTCGAACAGGTTGAACATCAGTAGTGGGGAAAATTCTGGAATCCATTTTCAAGGACTTTATAGCAGATCATTTAGAAAGCAGTGGCAGAATCAGACCGAGTCAGCATGGATTTATGAAGGGGAAATCATGCTTGACAAATCTGTTGGAATTCTATGAATATGTAACATAGTAGAGTTGACGGGGCAGCCAGTCACTGGTATATTTGGACTTTCAGAAAACGTTTGACAGAGTCCCACATAAGAGATTATTGTGCAAGATTAAAGTGCATGGGATGGGGGAAGTATATTGAGATGGATAGAAAACTGTTTGGCAGAGAGGAAACAGTAGTAATTAGTGGGTCCTTTTCAAATTAGCTGGCAGTAACTAGCGGGGTGTCACAGGGATCAGTGTTGGGACCCCAGTTATTCACAATATATATTAATGATTTGGAAGAGGGAACAAAATGTAACATCTCAAAAGTTTGCAGCTGATACCAAATTGGGTGGGAAGGTGAACTGTGACGAAGATGCAGAGATCCTTCAGCATGATCTAGACAGATGGGGTAAGTGGGCAAATCAGTGGCAGATGCAGTATAATTTGGATAAATGTGAGGTTATTCACTTTGGAAGCAAAAACAAAATGGCAAGTTACTACCTGAATGGCTGTAAATTAGGAGAGTGGGTGTGCAGTAGGACGTGGGTGTCCTTGTGCACCAGTCACTGAAGGTAAGCATGCAGGTGCAGCAGGGGCTAGCAAAGGCAAATGGTATGTTGGCCTTCATTGCGAGAGGTTTCGAGTACAGGGGCAGGGATGTGTTGTTGCAGTTATACAGGGCTTTGGTGAGGCCACACCTAGAATATTGTGTGCAGCTTTCGCCTCCTTTTCTGAGGAAGGATGCTGTCAATCTCAAAGGAGTGCAGCGAAGGTTTACCAGACTGGTTCCAGGACGGTGGGACTGACATATGAGGAGAGATTGACTGGGTTAGAATTGATTTTGCTGGAATCCAGATGAATGAGGGGGTGGGAGATCTCATTGAGACATAAAATTTGAACAGGACTATAGACAGGTTAGATGCAAGGAGGATGTTCCTGATGGTCGACATGTCCAGAACCGGGGTCACATTGAGGATTCGGAATAGACCATTTGGGATGGAGATAAGGAGACATTTCTTCACCCAAAGAGTGGTGAGGCTTTGGAATTCATTACTGCAGGAAGTAGTTGACGCCAAAACATTGAGTGTATTCAAGAGGCGGCTAGATATATCTCTTAAGGCAAACAGGATCAAAGGTCATGGGGAGAAAGCAGGATTAGGCTATTGAGTTGAACAATCATCCATGATTGTGATGAATGGCAGAGCAAGCCTGAAGGATCGAATGGCCGCCTCCTGCTCCTATCTTCTATGTTTATTCTGGATAGAAGAGGCGAAAGACAATTAGCCACTTTGGTGACAGAATCAACTGATTTATACTAATGGTGTGACTGAAGGAGTCATGAGGCTTGATTGCCATTTTATTCCTCCTGTCACAGTCTTAACAACAATAATGAAGGTGAATCGTATGAGTAAGGCATCAGGTTTTTGTTTACTTCCACAGCAGGCACGTAAGAATAATATAGCTCTCATTTTAAATGCACAAACTTGCCGCCCAGTTACTAAAATTTGACTAATTTATTCGAAGCGTAGGAAAACACACACACAAGTCCTAATTCAAGTATATTTGATCGTGTGAAAGTAAAAAGGGACACTGAAAAATTGTCTATGGAAGTCTGCATTTTATATTTCAGGCATTTAATTTTCTTTCATGTCCCACTCTAGACAAAGTAATGGTTATTAATCTTTCTCTGCTTTTTGTAGGTATTCATGAAATCAGTGAAATTGGAATGGGTGTTGGGAGACATTCCTCGAGCTCGAGAGTTGTGTGATGAAGCACTAAAACATTATGAAGACTTCCCAAAACTGTGGATGATGAAGGGTCAAATTGAAGACCAAGTCGAAAATACCGAGAAAGCCCGTGAATCTTATAATCAGGGGGTGTGTAAGTTTGGTAACAATTAAATATAAATGGCTTAATAAATTATGAGCATTTAAAGAAAATCCACTTTCATAAAAAGACAGAATTCACCTTTTTTGTTTAAATTTCTGAAATGATGCATAAATCATCTCCCCCTTAATTAAAAATTATTTTATATAACTTTTATTTGAATGTAATGCTGCTTTTGTATATATTCCATTAATTTTTTTGTATTGCATATTTTTTCTCAACAGTTAAAGAAATGTCCACATTCCAGTCCCCTGTGGTTGCTTCTTTCCAGACTTGAAGAGAAAGCTGGTAATCTTACAAGGGCAAGGGCTATCTTAGAAAAGGCACGGCTGAAAAATCCACAAAATCCGGAATTATGGTATGAAGTAAAGCAGTGCAAGGCTTTAATTAGCAACGTATAGCTCTTTAATTAACAAGTGCCTCTGCAATATATAGACAGCAAGAACTGCAGATACTGGAGTCAGAGTCAATAGTGTGGAGCTGGAGGAACACACCAGGTCAGACAGCATCAGAGGAGCAGGAATGTTGATGTTTAGGGCCTAGACCTTTCATCAGGACTCTGATGAATCCTCATGAGTCCTGATCAAGGATCTAGGCCCGAAACATCGACTTTTCTGCTCCTCTGATGCTGCCTGACCTGGTGTGTTCACCCCACTCCACACTGTATTGACCCTGTGTAATACGTAACCGTTTTGTAAAGTTAAAATGGCACACCAAGTCTTTAAAAGTGCCTGATTTTTAAAAAAATTCTACTTAAGAGCCAGGATAAGGCTTCCATGGCTAGCACTTGTATTTTGCTCCATTAATTTCGTTTACTTAGGGTAGTTTTGGATTTTTTGATATTTGTACACTGAGTAACTTGTTTCTGGAAAAATATTTCCATTGTTTCTCAGGTTGGAATCTGTAAGACTAGAGTACAGGGCTGGTTTGAAAAATATTTCAAATACCTTAATGGCAAAGGCTCTTCAAGAATGTTCCAATTCTGGTAAGTTCATTTCATGGACTTCAGAAATAAAGCAAACAATGTGCCTGCTGTTTCCACTTACTAACTGTAGCCTTCATTCAAATTGGTTACCTTTTGATGTTTTAGTATGTTTTCTTTTCTTGACTTAATGTTTTCATGCAAAAACATTAGAGACCAAAAACTGATATCAGTTTGCTACTGAAATTATTGGCATTGCTGTTGAACCCAGAAAGAAAATTATTACATAGTCCCAAGAAAGGACACATGGATCACTATGCATTCAGTGCAGTGGCAGGCAACATGTCAACTTTGTGCCGATGGTCATTTCCACAGTTGCTTCAGGTAGTTATTGCTCAGTTCAGTGTTGGTTGGCTGTGCTCATCACTCGGGCAGGGAGATCGAAAACTAACTTCCTAGCACTGCTTAATAGTAACATGTAGATTTTAAAAGGAGAGGTGCACTATAGTTGGCTGGTCCTGGCCATTGTAGGACAAGTGACATCTTGGGAGAGAGTGGACGCCAGAGTTTTTCATGCTGCAATGGAGGCCTAGGTGGAGGAGGCAGAAAGGAGGACCTATATCCTCAATCCACAAGACGCAGTCCAGATGTGCTGAGAAAACAATGGCACCAAAAACAGGAGATCAAAGATAAGAGTTGTGCCTTGAAGACCTGAATACAGTGCTGCAAGTAGTACAGTGATTTCATGCAAATGGTCAAAGTCAGTAGATGCATCTTTAAATGCCATATTCTGCTGACTGCACCACTAACCCCTGCTATTGTCCACGTTACCACGACCACATTACTTGTCTATCAACCATCTCAATCATAGCTTATAATGAACATTCATATACTCCCACCTCACCCTTATGTACTCAACACTACTGCAAGCCTCTCATCCATATTTCAAGCCTTGCATGCACTGCCAATTTATCAGCCACGACTGTCATGTTAGGCACAATATTGTGGGCCAAAGGGCCCGTTTCTGTGCTGTACCGTTCTATTGTCTAACTCTCTAGAAGAGTGCTGTCTAGATTTGATGTCTACAACGAACTGGAGCAAAATTAAGGTGTTATCAATAGTGTTACCAGGCATCCCAGCCTTGACCTGCAATATTCGCTACCCAGTCAGGGAGTGAAAATACTTTTTGCTTCTTTAAGTAGTTGACATATGGTTTCTACAATATGATGTGTGTGCTGCCAGTAACATCCTATGCCATAGGGAGATCATGTGCTTGTTCGACTTGCTTTCTCTGGTAAGAGAATATAACTTGGTATGCTGTCATTTATTGGAGCCTCTCGATGACCTTTGTGTGTGACAATCAACAGCAAATTGCAAGGCAGTTGTTCCAGTCTGGAAGGAGTGAAATACAAAACAGATCAGCAACAGTTCACGTTTCACGTGAGGACATCTGAAGTATAGATATAATTTATATTGTTCCGTCATGAGACTCAGGTAGGGAAGTTATTCCCTAAACATGTACGATCTTCTGCAGAATGTCTGTTTCCCTCCTCCAGCTCTCACGTCCATCAGCTTGTTTTACTCTGCATTGTCTCTGTTCATTCTTTCAAGTAGTGCCGCGTTCCAAAGGGAATGCTGGCTCATGCTGTGCATGCCTACATCCAGAAACAACGTCTTTGTGCAGAAATGTTAAAGTTAAGAAAAAGCCTTTCACTTATTACACCAGCAATCCCAATACACATTTGCTTGAAAACCATAGAGAGCTCCAAGCAGTTATTGAATCATAAGCAGGCAAAACAACCAGTAGTGTAACCTGCTGTCACTTTAAATAGTGCTCAGTGAGGTTGCTAAATGCCAGAGTTGGCAAGAGTCCAATAATGTAGTTTGCTGGTCAACATTTTATTTCTATTTCATACATCACAAACTCCCAACAAAAGTGATTACTTGCTTCCCATATTTAACACCTAGTTTTCACCTAAATTAACCCTTAAATTATATCTGCCCAGTTTCCCATTTTCAGTTGATCTCTGGCAGATCTTTGCCACATTGCAGTAGATAATAATGGGATTGTTTCCATTGCTGAACACACATTCAGTTATGTTTAGCGTTTTAAAGTCTTTTTGTTTTAGTAAAGTAGTGGCATTGGAGCAGTTAATGGAGTTAAAATCTTGCGGTTTCAAGAGGTGATAGAGATATTGTATGCAATGTTTTGGATCTTAGAGAATTTACTAGTCCTTGTGTATGGAACTTGGCAAATGTACCCCTACTATTCAAGGAATGAGAGAGAGAAAGAATGTGCATCTATAGACCAGGTAGCCTAGTATCATTAATAGGAAAATGCACAAATCTCTTACTGGGGACATGTTTACAGGATTCTTCAAACAATTTGATAAATGTTAGTTGTTGAAACCAGTGGATTTCATCTGTTTGGATTACAAAAAGTTATTTGACAGGTTCCTGTACCTGAGGTTATCACACAAAATTAGGCTTGTGGGACGGAGAGTAATATATTAGCATAAAAATCAGTTAATGCACCATAAGCATTAACAAGTGGAGTGCTGCTGGGTCCATTGCATGATCCACAGCTGTTTGTAATCTATATCAATAATTTGCATGAGAAAGCCAAGTATACTGTATCAAAGTTTGCTGATCATACATGTTTAAGTGTGAAAGTTAGCTGTGAGGAGGATGCAGAACAACCACAAAATAACTTAGGTTGTGGGTGGGGGGAAAAAACTGTACCATGTAGAATATGATGTGGATAAATGTAAGATTATCCACTATATGACACAAAATTTGGAAAACAATTTTTTTGTATGGTGGAAGGCTGGGAACTATTATTCAGGAAGATCTGACTGTGCTTTGTACATGAGTCAGTGTTCACATGTAGGCACAACAAACAATTGGAAGGCAAATAACAGATTGGCTTTTATTGCCAAGCGATTGGAATAAACAAGTCTCATTGCAATTATGTAAGACATCCAGTATTGTGTATACAATTTGGGGTCACCTTCCCTAAGGGTAGAATTAGGGTCTTAGAGCGCAATGAATATTCTTGGGACTCATTCCTGGAATGAGGTGATTGTCCTATGAGGAGAGATGAAAGAGACTAGGATGATATCTTCCCGATTTTAGAATGATGATGTGGTCTTGCTAAAACATAAAATTCATAAGGAACTTGGTTAGTTGGTGTGAGACTGTTTCCCTTGGCTAGGGAGTCTAGAACTGAAGGTCTTAGTCTCCAGAAATAACAATCAGCTATTTACAATTGAAGAGGAATGTTTCCATTCAAAGGATTGTCTATCTTTGGAATTTTCAATGCAGAGAGCAATGGATGCTCAGTCGTTGATTTATATTCAAAGTCATCTTGCATTTAGAAAATGCAGGGTTTTCTATCAACTTTTCATCTCTGCTCTGCTATTACGCTCATTAATCAAAAGTAGTGTATTTTCCAATTCCAGCTCAACATTTGAATATTGAAATGACATGTCTTATTGAAAAGCCTCAGTTTGAACTCCTGTTTTAACTTAGCAGCTCCATCAGCTATTTATATAATATGCAGAAAGCCATTAAAATTTATCTGCCATAAAACAAAGGTTTTCTCTCTCTTGAATGTCCTCATTGGGATTGCTAATCGTGGCCTAAACAATAAAGCCAAAATATAAGCCACAAGAATTATTTCAACCTATGCAAAGATGGAACCTGCATACCTGTGAAACCTGTTGGCATTACACAGCACTGTGCTTTAGCCAATTAAACAACAGAACTAACTGACCCCTAAATGCGATTCTACATTAAGTCAAATAGCATGGTTTAAGTAAAGACACATTTATTGACAAACTTACACAGCATAAATGTTTTTAAATCAGAATAATTAGATTTTTATTAAAGAAAATCTCTTCAAGAAATAAATTCAGTTTATAGTTTAGCCTGTTATTACTGTGACAGTGCTGGCTTCCCTGTCGGGTAATTTTGTCCACTTTGCCTGTCAGTAAGTAGTACGGCTGGTTACACCTAGGTGCATTTTAGAATGGTTTTCTTTCTGTTCCTCTGGGAAATTGGTTTACTTTTGCTGCGTGTAATTGAATACTAGTGAAGCAACGTATTTATGGTAATCAATCAAGATCTCTGTCACAATCAAAATGTCCTGCAGTTAATGACCCATTTGGGGCTTCTGAGGTGTCAGCCAAATCTCATTTAACTTGATGCTCAGGAAGCTTCAGAGAACCTGTTGACAAATGATTATTTAATATTTTTTCGAAGCCAATGCCTTAGCATTTCTCAGGCTTAAAACTGATTTGACAATAAGTTGCAGTTTCAGTGATATGATTAAATTAATGCTGAAAATTAATTTAATGGTGGACCCCAGATTCAAATCCTACCAGTAGCACATGTTCAACTTGTCATTTTAGTGAATTTTCAGCTGCAGTGCTGATAAATTCACAGCTTTTATATTCTTTCAGATATCAATTGTTAATTGTGCTTCAAAGGTTTAGGATGAAGAAGTTTTGAAAATAGAGAGATGGAGCAAACACAGCAAGAACATTGGGTATTCCTGTCAAATTTGCCTATCCAAAACTAATTGTTTCCCTTTGTGACAAAAACTTGTGCCTTTGTAAGTTGTTTGAAATAAATTCACAATGAACTTGTATTTCTGGTAATAATTAAAAGGATAAACATCTGAGTGAAAAAAGGCAAGTGGAAAGACCAAGAACGAGTTTGATAAGGTGGCTCTACCAAGAAACGGGTAGAGGTATGAAGGGCCAAACAGCTTTCAGCACTATATCATTGTTGAATTCATATTGGATGCACCATAGAAAAGGTGATATGCTCTTTAACAGTATATTATACAACATAGTAGCAATGCTGTCAGTGATTCAGGCGTGATGTGGAGGTGCCGGTGTTGGATTGAGGTGTACAAGGTTAGAAGTCGCACGACACCAGGTTATACACCAACAGGTTTATTTGAAATCAAAAGCTGTTGGAGCACTGCCCTTTCGTCAGGTGAAGTCATAGTGATTCAGCATTTAAACTTTGCACTCGGCAATGTTTTAACTCTGCTAGATCTGGCACTTGTATTTGCCCATACACCTTTCTGGATTTTTTTTGCTGAAACTTACTATAACTTAGAGCTAAAGCGTAGTAGTGCCCTCTTCAGGAAATATGGGATCTATGTGAACAAGAAATAAGAGCAGCAGTAGGCTATTTTGCCCTTCGTGCTTGATCTGCCATTTAACAAAATCATGGCTGATCATCCATTTTCTTGCCATGTTCTTTGATTCCCTTAAATTCTAAATGGATCAATCTATACCTTAAATATGTTCAACAACTGAATGTCCCTAACCTTAAATTAAAGAATTACTGATGAGCAATCCAGAATCAACTTAGAATTGTCAGATTGGCCACCCATTGAACAACCACTCGATATTTTTCATTTTGGAGGTAAGTTAAAAGTTCTGCCCAGTATTTCAAACATCAACATGGTTTAAAATAAAGATCAAATGATTTATTGCTTTAAGTTTACTGTTTTGTAGTAATGGCTGAATCACTCACATTTACAGTATTAAGAACATGACATATCCTAAACCACACTCCAAATCCTTGAATACTAGTGAATAATGTGACAGGAAATGGACCTATGATAGATTCCTGCCAACTCCCCTTTATCCCTTTACAGCATTTCTAACCAAACAATTGTCCAATACCTTGTTGAACCTGCCTCTTCAACATTTCCGGGCAGTGCATTCCATACCCTTAACCAATTGCTACATAAAAATGTTTTCTTCTCACATTGCTCTTGCTTCTTTTGCTTATTACTAAATCTAACTTTTTTCTTTTACGAGCTGGAATAGCTTCTCATTGTCTATTCTATCCAGCCTGTTCATGATTTTGAAACCCCTACCACATCTCCTCGCAGCCTGTCCTGTCTATGGAGAACAATCCCAACCTCTTCAGTCTGTTTTCAGAACTGAGTTTCTCATTTCCGGAACCATTTTTGTAAATCGTTTCTGCACTTCCTCTAATGCATTCATGTCTTTTCTATAATGTGGTAGCCACACTGTACACAATTTTTCAACTAAGGCCTAATGAGTGCCTTGTACACAAGATAAATATGTTTTCTTTGTATTTGTTATAAAAGACTTGCATTGTTCCAGTTAATGTATTGGAAATGTTTTATTTGTAGGTATTCTTTGGGCTGAAGCTGTTTTCCTGGAAGCAAGACCACAAAGAAAGACCAAAAGTGTAGATGCTCTGAAGAAATGTGAGCACGATCCTCATGTCCTCCTCGCGGTAGCAAAGTAAGTTGCTGTGTTGAGTCTTTTGCTTAAATGTAGAAGTAATGACATGTGGAAGCCTCGTATTGCCATAGCATTGCAGCAAAGTGAACTAATTCACTGTTTCATATATCAACAGCCTAAATCTGATACCAGTACTAAAATTGAGCGTCGTTTCTGGAGCACCAACACTAAGTCCATTTCACCATGAATTTGTTTGGACTGTAATTCTGCATTTAGATAAGCAGTCAGTCAGCTGCTTAGAGGTTCCGCAGACACCAGTCACATGCAAGCCTACGTTCCCTTGTTGTTTTTCTTCAGTGCAGACCTCTAGCGTCTGTCCATGAGCAACTTCCAAAACTGGATCCGTCAGCAAGAGCCAGCATGCCAATAAGCCTGGCGTGAACCCTTGGAGCAACTGCAAAGCAGCACATTTCAGTGAGAACGTTGGCGCTGATGTGTTGACATCTAGTCCCATCTGCAGCAGCTAGAACTTGGACATGTGTGCAATGAAAAAAAACAAAGGAGGACCGTAGATTTTCACTAAAACTTGTACAGTCCCCAGATGTGCGGTTCATATCTACCCCAGGATTAATAGGGTGTAAAAAGCAAAATTAAATCTACATTTAATGCATTTAACATAAGAATTTCCTGCTTGAAACATGTCAGTTCTAGTATGTACACAAGCTACTAAAGAGAGAGATTGAAATAGTTTCATGCTAAATTTGTGATACTATTTAAATGAATTATGTTCAGATTCACTTACTGTTATTATAATTAATATAAGTTTTAAAAATGACATGGCCAACAATTAGTGGAATAAGAACTAATGTGCCAAAAATTTTAAGTTTCAGATCATTTGAGTGAAGACTAAATCCATCAATTCTAACATAACTTATATTAATCTCTGTTTTTTGAATACTTTCAAAATGAATGAGTATTTCTCGATATTTATGTAATTTGTGTGTTTTGTTCTTCCAGTTTAAGCTATAAAATGTTACCCTATCACATGTATGTATTCACTAACAAGGTATTCATTTCCCTGCTTATTTTGTCAGAGCATGGCATTAAAATAATTAGAAAGACCAAATCATCTCTTTATAGCAAGTACTTTTACTTTTCAAATTGCATTTCTTTCCTTTTGTATTTCAGACTGTTTTGGAGTGAACGTAAAATAACCAAGGCGAGAGAGTGGTTCCACAGAACTGTGAAAATTGATCCTGATCTTGGAGATGCTTGGGCTCTGTTTTACAAATTTGAGCTACAGCATGGTACTGAGGTAACCAAAAGTTATCAATGCAGTCAAAACATGAGAACTGAAAATAATTAATTAAGTGTCCACCTTTATATCTTTGATGTCATTTTTGAACCTCATTGGATCAGTACTCTATTTTTGAGAGATTTGTTTTGATGCATAGTTGTGATTCTATTCCCATTTTGAAACTGCCAAATACATCACTGTATGCCAGATGAAAGTGTAATTCCATCTGTTGGAATTGGTTACTTCCCAGCATTCTGGTCTGAAGCATGATCTATTGCATGACTGGTGGAAGTAAACTAATGGGAGATGAGAATATTGCTGCTAAGTTGATTTATTGTCCATTCACAAGCACCTCTTTGGCTCTGCAGTACAAAAGAAATGGGATGTAGAAATCAATAACACTTTGAAATATAGTGAAGATGATCTCAACCTAAAACTATGGTTTGCCCAAATGGAAGTAGTTGATTGAACATAACTTGCATGTACAGCACTTGGGCATGTTGGTAAGTGTTTGGTGTTACCATAGATATTGTGCATATTGGGTAGGATTTTGTTTAACTAGAAAAGTGCTCATAGTCCAGTACCCAGCCAGAATGAGGAAGGGTCACTGGACCCAAAACATTAGCTCAGTTTTCTTCACAGATGCTGCCATACCTGCTGAGCTTTTCCAGCAACTTCAGTTTTTGTTCCAGAATTGTTTTGGAACTTTTACTATTAAGTACAGGTTATAAAGAGAGTGTGGGTTAATCAGATTAATAGAAAATTAATGACCCCCAAGTGCTAAAAAGGTGCAGATGAAGACTGCTTATAATTCAAGGAACGGATTATCAAAATTTAAAAAGTTAGTGTACAATTTCCAATGAGTTATTAATATTCATTAACCACAAGTAGTATGAACAATGATGAATAAACAAATAAGCATGAGCCAGAAATCTTCAATCTTAGGCAGTAAGTTTTACAATATGTCTGGTTGCATCAATATTTTAAGTTTTATTTAACATAATACAATTTCATTGGATGGAGTATGGCTTTTCTAGAATTGAAAAAACAAATATTTAGCATAAACAGCGATTTGAAACAACTTGAATATGTAACCTGGTTATTAAACATTATACTGTAAGCTAAAAATCTACCTTTAATAATAAAGCATTTGGATATTATCTTTACTAACCAGTAATTTTAAATATATACTCTGCTCCTGATTCTGTACAAAAAAAAACTAAAATTGCCTAAATACATTTTCAAGTTAAGATGAAGGTGCATAGTCTTCTGTTAAACTTCGTTAAGTATAGGATAACTAATTGCCCAGTCCTAGATCAGAACTGTTCAATAATTCAGAAATGGACTGAACAACTTTCAAGTAAAGCCATATGTAGATGCTGTATCTTCACAGTAAATAGTATTGAATATTGGGTTCACATTGATTTATTTTATTAAAAAGTATCCAAGCTTCAAATGCATTTTAATCTATCTTCCCTTACAGGAACAGCATGAGGATGTGAAAAGGCGGTGTGAAAATGCAGAGCCAAGACATGGAGAGTTATGGTGTGAAGTGTCAAAAGACATCAAGAACTGGCAAAGAAAGATCGGAGAGATTCTTATGCTTGTAGCTGCTCAGATAAAAAATACATTTTGAAATTTTGTGTGAAGATATTGTATCTAAAGATTTGGCTGTTTTTTTTTCTTTTAGAATAGCTTAATACTTCATTGCAGAAATCTGTATCTTCTCTGTCTTCCTTTCCCTATGTAATTTATGCAACTTCTAAAATTTTCTGTTGGGAAACTACTTGTTATTGTGTACAATACTATTTTAAAATAAACTGAGCGTCATCGTAGTTTTAAGCAGTGGATAATATATTTTTTAAAAACCGATGGTAGTTGTAGTGTAGGAGCTGTTTATTACTGGAGGATAGAAATCTTAATAAATGGATCCCATGGATACAGGAAACCTGCATAAATGGCCAGAGAAAAATTACAGATGAGAAGTTTTTGTTATTCGAGCAAGTTGTTTAAATTACCAAGTTATATCTACAAGAACTTGTAAGTCTGTTCAGTCTGAATACTTTTTAATAAAGTGAAAATGGCACTGAGTTATGGGTATCGACTCAATTCTGCTATCCTAAATAAGAAATTGTTTTGAATTTAAGGATAGCATTGTGTGTTCCTTTTATAACTCCCATTTCTATACTGTATGCAATTAACATTTCTAAACTCAGTTTTGTTAGTGTGTGGTTGCAAAACCATCTGGAATGAAGACTGAATCAAGTGCCCACTAACAGTACAAAATGCTATTTCCATATGTAGGCACTGCACGCACATCTGCTCTAAAATTAGCACATTGTAGTAACAATAATTTGAAAGTTACACAGCAATGTCACATGCCTACTGTTTTGCTGCGAAAACCACTATCTCTGGGAGTGGCAGCAAACTTAAAATGCCAGTTTTAGGATGAGTTACTTTGTGCTCAAACACATCCAGAGTTGTTTTTACAGTGAATGTTGAATTCTAAGTGGGTACCTCCCACAGTCCAGAGATGTACAGATTAGTTGAGTTGGCCATGCTAAGTATTCCAAGGATGTTGTAGACTAGGTGGGTTAGCCACGGTTAATGTAGGGTTATGGGGATAGGGTAGGAGGGCTGAATCTGGGTGGGATACTCTGACCATCGGTGTGGACCCAGTGGGCTGCATGGCATGGCTCTGCACTGTAAGGATTCCATGATTCTATAATGGAAGTGAAGGAAGCAACAGCTTTAATGGTAGGCAAGGCACACCCATCTAAAAAGCATTTGGGCTAAATAACTACATCCACTATTTCCTCTGAAGATCAATCATCAGAAAGAAAAGTCAAACCTGGAGTATGGAAGTCAAGCAGCAAATGAGTGTGTACTTTCTGCTATCATTTCCTATAAACATATTGGCCCAGATTTGCTAGAATGGAGCATCATGCTGACTGCACCAGTATATATTTTCCTGCATACTTTTATACAAGGAGAATTTGCTGAAAATTTGGATGAGAGTAGAAGAGCCTCCCAGTTTACTTCCTTAATGAGAATTGAGAAAGAAACAGTGAAGGCTGAGAAGCTGAATGAATTAGTCAAATGAGCACCAGAAAGTGAATGATTGGATTAAGATAAAGAAAAAGCCAAAGGGGCTGTAATAATGTTTATTTTAAAAATTGCTAGTAATGATTTACTACTTATAGGAATACAGTACGATAGTTTAAATTATCTTTTGGGTACCACCATTTGGGGAACAGAAATCTTGCTTGTGTTACTGGGCAATTTACACGTCAGTCATGGGTGTAATTTAAAATTTGTTAATTTAGCAGAATCTTCTGGGCTATTAGTGGAAATGGGTCAATACTTGGGCAATTATTATTTAGTATTGGAGACACTTACGTTGAACATGATCTGCAACAGAACTATCACTTCAACAATCCACGTGTGGGGAAATTGTAGGAATGCTGCAGCAATCATTGCTTCAGGCAATTACAGTAGGCTTTCAGGAGCAATGAAATAATGATCAAGCAACAAACCCTTGACAAGTAAAAACACAATGTTAAGTCAAGCAGCATCTGGAAAGAAACAGTAGACATTTGACCTTTAATTAGAATTGGAAGAGAAGAAAAATGATAAGTGCTGAAAGGGAATGTCTGATGGACAGAAGCAGTTAAGTGACAACATCCTATGGTAATTGGACAGGAAGTAAAAGACAAGTGTAGAAATGAAAATGGAACAGCCTTATCCTTAAGAAAGCTCAGGAGCATTCTGTTTCTAATGTGAATTAGTACGAACCAGGATCATTGTTAACAACTTTGATATCTCAAACTGCAGAGCAGCTGTGTCCATCAGCCAACACCTTTGTGCTTATAGCAATAACAAGACTATGGCTCTTTCTACCCCCACCCTTAACTAAGTAGAGCAACTAACTACTCATGTCTTACTTTGAGTTGCCCAGTTATAGTGGAGTCCCATGTATACCGGATTGGTGATTGATGCTTATATTGTAACCTCGAGTCAGAAACTTGGAAATTAACAATTGATGTTTCTAAGTTGTAGGATAAGGTGTAGAGATGGTTTTCAACTTAAAGGGAATATGCTCTGATGCAAGCTATAGCCATGATTACAGTTGTGAAATATATCGTAGAACTATCCTAATGAAGTTGTTGCCTTAATTAGATAAGCGTAAGGTGAGTGACTTTTTGTCAGTTATATTGTTGCTTTGTTGGGTTACAAAGATAGTGTAGTAGAAAGTCAATATTGACACTTGATTATTTCAATTGCATATGTTATGTTTAGGATAGCACTGAGGCTAAGGTACGAAATTAATAATGAAGTGTTTGAGAGTTCAAGTCTGACAATAGCAGATGTGCAATATTTCTAGGGTAGTACCAGAAAAAAAGTAATGAAAACTATTATTTGTTGCATTAAAAATTCTTAAGTAATTTACTATGCTTAAGGAGGTCAACCTTTCACCTTGTCATGACTAGGCTACACGTGCCAAATTCTGCAGTGTATGGTAGACTCAAGTCTAAAACAGCAATGTTAAGACATGAGGTTCTAAAGCAGCTGGCTGGAAGTGCATTGTCTGGCATATTGTGTAAGAGTGAAGAGGAGACACCCTTTATCCATGCCTGCAACAAAGGATAGATGCATTGTCTATGCATATTAAAAAAATTAACACTTGTCGGAGCCCCGTTTGATGGCTACTTTGAGACAAATTATTGCCTCACGGGTTGCATTTGGAAACAAAGAAAATAGATAACTTCCCCTCAGTAAAATGGTACCCATGTGCATAGTTCCAGTTGCTGCCCCATCTATAAAGCAAATCAGTCCCTATCCCTGAAATTGCACCTCCCCTGCTCCATTTTACTCCAGGCACCCTAGCCCTCCAATTTGTCTGGCGTCCTAGACTGGTTCCCCAGAAATATGTATCTATTAGTTCCCTAGAGCCATTCAGTCCTTGCTGGTCGACCGTTGGGCCACTCTCACTCTTTTGCATTGATGATATAGGCCCAGCATGCTTTAACAGTGATATCATACAGATGTTTCACAACTGGTTTCAAACACTCTATTACCATTGACCCACTAACAACTTCAGAGTTATCTTAAAATAAAAAACTGTGGAAACAAAAACAGAAATTGCTGGAGAAACTTACCATGTCTGGCAGCATCTGTGAAAAGAAAGTGAAATTAACATTGAGTCAAATGAACAGAGTTATCTTCAGAATGTGAAAATCAATTACAAAAGATATGTTTAGATAAATTACAATTTTTGTATTGGGATTGCTAGAGGCTGAACTGACTCGAGTATCAAAAAAAATGAGTAGATCTGTATAAATCCAATATATAAGGGATGATAGCTAACTCGGATATCGGATCATTTGGAAAGCACTGAATTTAATTCACCCTGTTGTAACTATGATATAGTGTGTGATTCATATATATTTTAGACTTTCCCTGGTGGTCTGGTGATTAGGATTCAGTGCTCTCACCACTGCGGTCCAGGTTTGTTTCCCAATCAGGGAATGGGAATTAGGACAGCATGGTGGCTCAATGGTTAGCACTACTGCCTCACAGAGCCAGGGACCTGGGTTCGAATTCACCCTCTGGCAACTTTCTCCCTGTGTCTGCATGGGTTTCCTTCAGGTGCTTCAGTTTCTTCCTACAGTCCAAAGATTGGCTATGTTAAGTTGCCCATACTATCCAGGAACATGCAGGCTAGATGGGATTAGAGGGTTATAGGGTGGGGGTGGGGGTGAGGGTGAGGGTGAGGGTGGGGGTGGGGGTGGGGGGGTCTGGGAGGGATGCTGTGAGGGTCACTGGTGACTCAAAAGGGTCAAATGGCCAGCTTCCACAATGTAGGGATTCTATGATAAGATTGTATAATAATGTTTTTAATTTTGAATTAATGACATGGATTTTTCTGCATCTATAAATCTGATTATTACCTAGTAAATATTTCCTTAGCTATGGTGATTTTTTTTAACCAACTTGATAGACAGGTAACTTTCAAAACAAATGGCTTTTTTGTGTACATTAGGAGAGTTTCCAACTGAACAAGGTAAATATGCGTGCATCATGGGTTATGTGACAAAGTTCTGGACCTTTAAGCTTAGGGAAATAGCTAGGGCTAGTTTCAGTTCGGGGCAGTTCTATATGAGTCCTTGGATGAAGACATATAAAGCAGACTCCTGAGAGAGGGAGAAGACAGTAAAGATAGATGACCTTAAAGTAAGGAGTTGTGTAATAGTTCCAGACCAGAAGTGTTTGAATAAGACCCTGAAGAGGTTATTTGAGGCCAAGAACATTTAAATGCAGGCATATGAAAGATACCAGAAAAAAAGCTATAAAATTTTCCAGACTGGGATTTAAAGTTACAGTTATATTAAACCCATTGAAGTATTAGTAGAAAAGACTTTTTCTCTCGTGCCAGTTTTGTACAAGGATATTTTTGGCATCTGTAAAGAAGTGCTTTGGGGATTAATGGAATTCTATTTTACTTTGTTTTTCAAAATGTCTAAACTTGTGTATTAATAGTTTGGGTTTATCCTATTCTATTTTCATTTCTTGCGTGAGATAAACAGCTGCTTTATTGTTAAAACCAAATGGCAACATTGTGTGCTTATATCTCAGTGAGAGAACACCTCGTTAAAACCAAAACAAAACAATGATCTATTGAGCCAGATTTCAGACTGCAACCTCACTTGCCTAGGAAGAATATCAGCTGGGATCAGAATATAACTCTTAAACCACAATATTGACAATATGCTGCAATGAAACCTAACTATTTGCATTATGGATCCTGGACAAATCATCACTTTTTCAGAGCCCTTAAAAAATTAACTTATCTATGCACCCTACATGTGCAGAATACTGTTAGTAGTTAATATGAATAATAATGGAATATGGCTATTGTTACACTGCAGAAAACATTTCCAGTAGGTTTCCAGTCTACCTTTAATTTGTACAATCACCTCAGCTTGAGATTGGAATATCCTTGCCACGGGGGAAGACAGCTGTTGTCAGCAAATGATTCCAGAAACTGTGCAGAATCAGTATTCAGCATCTTTGAGTAAGTGAACCAGCTCTTTTGTGGCATTTAAATGCACAGCACTTGCATTAAGTGATGTTTCATCTGAACTCATGGTATACATTAGAGAGCAAGTCAGTACAGGAGGAGTATCATGGATGTATCTTGGCTATCATAAGCAAGTAGGAATTGTGTTTCATTATTGTCTGTTAGATTGTGAAATAACAGCCTTTGTAAAATCCCCCACAACCCTCTTCAGCTCCTGTAGTCCTGGAACTGAAATGTCTGCTTTTTGTGAGCAGTCTGCAGTCCTTTCAAAGTCCAGAAAGCTAATTCTTCCCTCAGTTCTTAAGTACACTTACAACACCTCAATTGCAGTGCACATTATTGCCATATATAATTCTGTAGGATTGGTGATGTAACATCAAACGTTGTGACATCAAAAGTGTTCCCAATTGAAACAAAGTAATAGCTTGACTTAACAGCAAACAAATGTAAAATCTCCACAAGATATACAGCCAAGTATTCATTCTGAAATTTGCCATCCAATCTGAGGGACATCCTCATTCTGTTCAGCACTGTTATTTATGTAAGCTGCTCCAATTGATTAGTACAACAGGTGACAAACCTTTGTCATTTTTCCATGCAAAATTATGGTATTGCTTTTCCACTTTTGATGCGAACATACAGTTTGAGCATATTCCAAACACATGATGACCACCATCTAGAAGGATAAGGGTAACCAGTATAATACAGCACCACCATCCTTAAGTTCTTCACCATGCAATTCGCCATCCTGACTTGGAAGTGTATTGCTCTTGCTTCCGTGTCAATTTCACAGTCAAAATCCTGGAACTCCCTCACAAACAGCATTGTGATGTATCGGTGGCTAACAAACAGTGGCAGTTCAAAAACACAGCTCACTACCACCTTCAAGGGCAGTTAGTACTGGTAATAATTGCTGGCCCAGCCAGCAATCACGTATCCCATGAATTGATAAATAAATTGGAGAGCAAATTTGTAATATTTGCTCTTAATCATTGCAAATTTTAAATTGTTCTATATTTTTGCTTTTACCAACAATTGAAGAGAAGTTTGATAGTAAACTTGGAAGATTTAGCTTTTGTTAACAATGGCTTTGATCTTCTTGCATGGCATGAATATTCTTTCCAAAGTGTCTTAGAAGTGGTCTCCTTTCAGAAATCATAGAACATTATAGCACAGAAAAAGAGAATGCTGGCTTGTAGCTAACCAAATACTCTCACCCCATTGTTCCATTTCCAAAGTCCTACTTACAAAGTCTCAAGTATTTTGTTATCCAATTCCCTTTTGAGATTTAGTATTGAATCTGCTTCCCCACCCTCTCAGGCAGTGCATTTTTGATCACAAAAACTTGCTGCATGAAAACAGGCATCATCTAGTTCTTTTAGAAATCATACCACAGCAATGTTCTCTGGTTATGGACTCCTGTGCTACTAGAAACAGTTTCTCCATTTCTATTCTATAAAAAATGTTCATGATCAGGAACAACTGTATAAAATTTCCATTAAACCATCTCTGATTCAAGGCAATCAATCACCCCAGCTGAAGATTCTCTGTGTAGCTGTAGTTTTTGATCCCTGGTACAATACTGGTAAATCTATTCTGCATCTATCATTCTTGATGCACCCCAAATTAGCCTACCTCATTTTATAATATTTCTAACTATCTTTCCCAGTCCTGTCTGCACTTTGTTTCAACATTTTCATAATAAATGTTGATGTCCAACTCTCTGCCACATTAGGACACTATAGCAGCTGTTGATTTTCTTGTAGGGTTATAAATCGCTAATCTGTTTAACTGTAACCCATCAATCTATCTGTGATACAACTGGTCCCAAAATCCCAGGAATCTGAAGCATTCCCTCCTGCAACTTGTTGCTACCCCGAGCCTTTAAACCATCTTGTTCTAATTCTTTTCATATATAATACTGAGACTGATACAGAGACAACTTTTTAAGGTTCTACTTTTTTATGTAGAATGGAATTAAGGAACAATTTATTATCCTTGAATTTCAATCAAATAGTTTTTTCCTTGATCCCTCGATTATGCCATCTTTCTCCTGCGGTAAAATAATTTATTTGATCAATACTGCCAATCCACTGCTTCATTTTACTCATCCCCCACTTTTGCTGAATATCTGGTTGCCAGGAATAGTAAGTTTCCAATTTTTACCTTCTCTGAATCAAGTCTCTGTTATTACTAGTACAGCTATAATGAAAAATGAGCTTTAAATAGTAGGCTTTCTCTTTGTGTGCAGGTACTTCTAAGTGTCACAATCCCATACAGTTGTATCAGGTTTTCAAACGGCTTCAAATTAATTTCAAAACCATCTAAGCCATAGGGTGATTTGCACTCATTACTCGGAAAAAGTATTCATGTTTATTTTAGTTTTCCATTGTATAAATTACTCCTGAGGTTTTAATCCATGTATAAAATAATTCAAACATAACTCAGAGACCACATTTCTCAAACATCACATCTTCATTTGGATGCTTAACTATTAGTCATTTTTGCAAGTTTGATTGAGCCTCGTTATTTTCAACTTTTAGAATTTTTAAAATCATGAGTTTGTGTTGCTTAGTTAATAGATGAAATATTAAGCCTAACAGCATACACAGTGTTTAAAATACCAGTGACTGAAAGCTTTGCAGTGCAGATAAACTATTCCAAGTGCTTGCCAAGGAATTGTTGAAGAATTTGATAGCAAGTTTTTTTTTGTTTGACGAAAGTGAAAGTCTGGCAACTGGTCACGGAAGTTTGTTGAAGTTAATTAAGCTTGAGCTGAATGAAATCGAGGGTAAGCAGAGAATTCTGTCTCTCTGGTCATGGCATTTAATGCGTAACAGCGATCAAGGCTGGTTCAATATGAAGTTAACTAAAGAGGATTAATCAATGTATAAATGATCTGCATAAATGCATGCTTGTTTGGGGGAAAAATGGACAAGGAGGTGTGGAAATTAAACTTCTGCATCAGAGAAGCTTGACAATGACCAGTAATTACTTCTTGACCATCGATTTACAATATTGTGGATTATTCAGTATACCATGCTAAATGGTAAGCAAAGAAATTTGACTTTCTGCCTAATTTTACTTTTAGAAATTGATTTCCTTTTTTGGAAAGATGTAATTTGCTTGTATAGATATTCTTGATTGAACATTGGATCTGTAGAGCTACTTTATGTCTCAACCAATGCATTACAATTTTAGGTTTACATTTGCACTAGAATTAATGTAAATCGCATTAGTTTTGGAAAAAAAAAGAGATCTCTCCAGTTAAAAAACTGAACTAGGAAGGCATGTTGCCAAAATCTACTAGCACAGCAACATAAAATTAAAGGCAGATGTATTGACTTCTGATTGTGAGCCTCATCCTTAGTTTATTCAAGATTTTGTTTTATCTGATCTTTCATGTTGCCTTCAAAGAACATGGGTGGAAATCTCCCCTTCAAAAGGGGAGTACTTACATCCTGACATCTCTAAAGATACAGTTGCTCTTTGGGGTCCAGATATACTGCTGATTGTGTACTGTTGCAAATCGGCATCTAAAATTTCCTGGTCTCTATGTACACTAATAGATATCCATTTATATATCCTTAAGTGCACATGTGCAGAACTTTATCCTGGCAGTCAGAATTTGATATGGAGCCAGACAATATAAAGATGTTGAAACATAGTTATTTTGACAATCTTAGAACAGTTGCTGAACAAATTCAGTTCCAACTAGGGATTCCAACAATGCGTATGTATGTATGCAGTCAGCCTACAATATACATGTAAAAGTGCATGTTGCCACAGCAACTTGGACTCTGAATAATCTGCAATACGCCACAGCACATGCATATCTGCAACTGCAGAGCTATATTCCCTTTCTACCATATTGACTTCACTAGCAAGCATGTTGCTCGCCACGGTTTTCCAAATATAACTTGAAAATGTTAACTTGATGTACAATACTAATTTTATTTACCAGAGTACAACTATATGGAAAGCTTTTGTAATTTTTTCAGCAATAATTAGAGACTTTGCACTGATGACACCTCTTAGGTTTACTTATGATTCAGTTCTTAATTTTAAGGGTAAATCATGAAAAATGTTATGTGATTAACTACTGCCAAGTTTTATAATTAAAAATTGGAGATCATTCCAGTCATTCAAATATAATATCTAACACAATTTGTTGAACTAAAGATCATGGCCATAAATTGAAAAATGGCAATAATCTTAGCAAATAAACATTTGAGAAGGTTACAGAAAAATTATGTGGAGGTAGGAATTGCCTTGTGATGTGAATCATAGAATTATCCAGTCCAAATGAAACCCTTTGGCCCATTTAATCTGTACCGCAAAAGCTATGCTAAATCTATACTAGTGCCATTTTCCAGTTTAAGCCATTGCCTTGAATGTTATGACACTTCAAGTGCATATCAAAGTATTTTTTAAGATGTTGTGAGGTCACCTGCCTCAATTATCCACCCAGGTAATGCATTCCAGGCCCCTACCACCATCTGGGTGGAAAAAGCATTTCCTCAAATTCCATCTAAACCTCCTGCCTTCCACCATAAAAGTGTGTAACCCTGTTACTAACCATTCAACTAAGGGGAACTGCTGCTTTCCATTCATCTTGTCCATGCTCCTCATAATCTCACTGTTATTAGCTCCTCACTCAACCTTCTCTGCTCCAAAGAAAACAACCTGAGCTTGTCCAGCCTGCCTTCATTGCTAATGCACTTAATCCCAAACAACATGCTGGTGAATTTCCTCTGCACCCCTTCCAGCACAATCACATCCATTCTATATAGTAACCAGAAGTGCACACAGTACTCTAGCTGTGGCCTAACCACAAGTTCAATACAGCTCCATTGTAACCTCGCTACTCTTATAATCTATGCTTTGACTGATAAAGACAAGTGTCCCACATGTCTTCTTAACTATCCTATTAACATGTCCTGCCACCATCAGTGATTTGTGGACAAGCACCCCATGATGGTTTTTCATTTTATGGGCGGTACGGTGGCTCTGTGGTTAGCACTGCTGCCTCACAAAGCACCAGGGACCCAAATTCAATCCACCCTCAGGCAACTGTCTGTGTGAAGGTTGCACGTTCTCTCTATGTCTGCGTGGGTTTCCTCCGGGTGCTCCAGTTTCCTCCCACAGTCCACAAAGATGTTCAGGTTAGGTGGATTGGCCATGCTAAATTGCCTGTAGTGTCCAGGGGTGTGTAAATTAGGTGGATTAGACATGGGAAAGGGTAGGGAGATGGGTTTGGGTTGGATGCTCTTTGGAGGGGTGGACTTGTTGGGCCGAATGGCCTGTTTCCACACTGTAGGGATTCTACGATCTAGGAAGCTCAGTAAAGTAGATGGTGTCCTACCACTCAATGAGTACTCGCTTGCCTTGTTACATTCTTCCAAAGTGCATCATCTCACACTGATCAGTTTCATCTACCACTAAACTGCCCATCTGACCAATCCATCTATACAGCACACTCCTTTAACCTAAGATCTTCTTTCTCATTGTCAACCACCTGGCTAATCTTTGTGTCAGAATTAAGACTTAATTAAAATGCATAAGAACCTGTTTGGGATATATGAGACAATAGATGTGGAGAATGTGCTCGGATTTGTGGAATGTGTGAATTAACTGTACTGCAGCTTCAGCTTTTCATAACACATTACTATTTCACCCAAGTCAGTAATGCTGCATAAAGTTTATAAAATAATTTATGTTGGGAAGCCCAGTACATTGTATAGATGGAAGCAGCAAGGTACAAAAAGGCATACACAGAACATGTGTACAGGGCAAATATTTAACAAAATTATGTTTACACAAGGCATTCAATTTAATGTCCAAGGGTGACTAGTCAAACAGTTTCTAATAATGACAGAATAGGAGCTGTGGAGGCGTGAAGGGATCTGGGTGCCCACGTATAAAAATTATTTTTAAAAATGCATAGGTACAAAAAAACCCAAAAATCATGAAGTAATGGCCTTTATTTCAAAGAGAATGGAATACAAAGCTGGGAGAATAGGGAAGCTTTGATTGGGTCTCAACTGGAATACAGTATTTAGTTTTGGACATATCGGCTTCAGACAGTGTAGATTCACCAAAATTCTACCAGGGCTTATCAAGTTAAATTATGAAGATAGGTTGCATAAATCTGACCTGTATTTCTTTGAATCTGAAATGCTGATTTAATAGAAGTGATTAAAATGATAAAGTGGATTAAAAGGTAGACAAGGGTAAATCATTTCCATTGCTGGGAGCTCCAGATCAAGGGGAGTACATTTTTAAATTAGAACGCTTTTTCCACAGAAAGGGTAGCAAAAATCTGGAACACTGTCCCAAAAGACTTTCGAAGCTGGGTTAAGTAAAATTTCAAGACCGACATTGAAAGATTTTTGTTGGGTAAGTGTATCAAAGGATATGCATCAATGGTGAGTAAATGTAGTTGAGGGATAAAACGGTCATGACCAGATGAATGACAGATCAGGCTTAAAAGGATGAGTGGTCTTCTATCTTATGTACTAAATCAAATATGTTGTTTGTATTAATTGTTTCATGCTGTGTCTTTTTGAGTTGTCTGCATTTATGTTGTGCCCTGACTGCTGTTTAAAAGTATGTACTGCATGAGACAAAAAAATGCAACTTGTTTTGATAAAAATATTCTGGCAGCTATATAAACATAATCCAAGTTGTCTTTGTAAATACAGTCCAATAACTGAGCCCTGTATGAGGAAATTAGGTTTATCTAAATAACTTATTTCTTTATCTAGACACAGAGAAACCACAAAATTAGAGCAACAAAACAACTCAACAGAATAGTTAACTGGAACAGTTAGCATGGTTGTGAAAAAATATCTAGCCTTGATTCAAATGCACTCTGTTGGAATAAGTTCAAAGCAAATTCAATCCACTGCACAGATGTCTTTCACTCTGCACAATTAACAAGAGGTGCAGCTGTTGTCAAATATGTTCGTGAACTTAGATAAATTACTTAATTTCACAAAGCTTTGGGATAATGATTTTTATACAGCTTATTTTAATAAAGAATAGTCAAACATGATTACCATTGTTCAATTATTTGTCATTACTATGATCAAAGATGAACTATTATATCTTTTGTTGTGAGAGTACTAATTTCTACTAGTTCTTAATACGGGCCTAACTTTGGCACTTGTATGCATTTGCAGTATTTGTATTAAATACTTCCTGGTTGTTCTGAGGCTTTAGAAACAAGTTTTACATGTTTCTATCTTTTGAAAATCTTGCCAGCATCATGGCTTAGCCTGTACCCAAGCAGCTTAATTTTAACATTGACTGGTGACATCATAGCATGGCATGGCTCCTTACATCTGGCTTCTTCAGGAAAAGACCTGAAAAAAATGTGCTGATCCGTAACATACATGATGACCAAAATATTGATATAATTGGATTCACTGTCCTGAGATTAACCTTTCAGATGATGAATCACTTAAAATTCTATGGACAATCTGTTCAACAGCAATGGGAAATAGTTATTTTTCATTCTTCAGATCCATGTCTGAATAATAGAATGTGGTACTGTCTGCTTTTATGAACTCGTTTCATTAAAAACATTTAAGTATGACCCTGGATCATTTGATAACTGTTTCCATTTTACACATTCATGTTGATGGAAAATTCCTAGCAAGGTATTGCATTATTTTCCAATTTTTCACAAAATGGAAGCTGTGTGACTTTAATATTTCTGTCCTTAAAACTTCAGGAATAAGAGCACTACACAGACATACATCCCTTTTAAGCCTATTGTTACTATAAAACTTGGTAGGAGACTACACATGCTTTGAACTCACTCCAGCTCACTGAATTTGTGACTACATTCTTGTACGTTACCTTGCATGTGTAGACTTGAATGTTTGATATGCATCATGAAATTCTCAACAAATGTGATGTATCAATTGCCCCTAGTTCAGGAAGTAAGGGTTGTAGTTTCTTGTTCAGAGCACAGCTCTGAGAGATTCTTGCTAAGTCTTTTTTTATTTGTTCATGGGACATGGACATAATTGGCTTGGTCAGCATTTATTGCCCCGTCCCAATGTCCTGCAGATGGTGATTGTAAACTGCCATTTTGAACAGCGTCAGTCCATGTGGTGTAGGGACATGTTGTTAATAAAGAAATTCCACAATTTTGACTCAATGGCAGAGAACGATAGAAGGCATGTGATATGGAGCAGTACGTACAGGTCATGGAACTCCTGTGCCTCTCTGCCCTTGTTCTTTTAAGTGATAGAGATCATGGGTTTGGAAGCTGTTGTCTGAGGAGTATTAGTAAATTGCCTCAGTGCATTTATAAATGATATACAATAATAGCAGTGTGTATCAGTGGTGAATGAGAGTGAATGATGAAGATGGTGAATGGAATGACACAATCAAGTGGCTTGTTTTGTTCTGGATGGTAGAGTTATTTGAACATTATCGGAACTGCATTCATTAGACAAGTGGAAGATATTCCACTGTACTCCTGACCTATGCCTTGTAGATGGTGGACAGACTTTGGGAACTGAACACTGCACAGTACCTAGCTTCTGATATGCTTACTTAACTGCAGTATTAATATGGCTGATCCAGTTCAGTATCAATGTTAACACCGGGATGTTGATAGTGGGGAAATCAGCTACAGTATTGCCTTTGAATGTCAAGAGGAAATAGTTTGTTTACCTCGTTAGCCTTGTGTAAAATGAATGCCAGAATGAAGCCATAGTGGCAGGCCCAAATAGTTATGGGTGCAGATAACACTTTTGCAATGGTTAGCAAAGTGTACCAAACCAACAAGATCTATCATGAATGCAGCTTGTCATATCTTTAGAGAAATTGTTTGCTGTTTCCTCACATATGCAAAGCCTATAGCCCCAAAGGACATTACGCACACATTAGCAGAAAATCAAACTTCATATCTGGGGCCTGGTTTGGCATTTGAATAAGGTGCCCACGAAGTGCTTCAACACCACAATTCTGTCAGACAGAAAGTCATCCACATGTACACAAACATATCAATGAAGGGAACAATCAAAAAACTGAAATGCAACCTTTAAAAGATGACCAAATCTGACAGATTGTCAACATCACTCACTACATCAACAGTATAAGATGAGCAGAAGTTTTTATAACCAACAAAATCACAAGTTCACAACAGGCAGGTTGACATAGCCTGAAAATCAAAACTAATACAGGAGCTATTGACAACATATTACTGCTGCGCATCCTAAAAGACACATACCCCAACAAATCCAAGGTACCATCTACAAAAGACCACCTCACAGGGCACAACAGATCATCAATTGTGAGCAGTGATATAATCACACTAAGTTCCAATATGTAAATAATTACAAATGATACACAATGCTATTATTGTGCATCAGTGGTGAATGGGAGTGAATGATGAAGGTGGTGAATGGATTGGCAATCATGCAGCAAGTTTTGATCTGGATGGTATCAAGCTATTTGAGCAATGTTGGAACTGCACTCATTAGACAAGTGGAGGGTATTCCATTGTACTCCTGACCTGTGTCTTGTAGATGGTGGACTGACTCTGGGGACTGAGGAAGTGAGTTACTATTTGCACAATACCTAGCTTCTGACATGGTCTTGTAACCACAATATTAAAATGACTGATCCAGTTCAGTCTCTAGTCAACATTTACTCCAGGATGTTGATAGAGGAGAAATCAGCTATAATAATACCTTTGAATGCCAAAGGAAATAGTTTATCTCTTGTTAGACATGATCATTGCCAAATAATTGTAAGGCTCATTGTAAAGCGTATTGAATTCCTGACATCTTCCACCTGGTAAATACCAATGACTGACCAGCATCAGGACTACAATTATGTACAGATGTCAACATTGCAACCTTTCAGTGGATCCAAACCACATTCACTGTGGTGAGAATGAAAGAGCTACAGGACTTCCCTCTTCAAAGTAGATCAAAATGAAACAGATATACCACCAGTGAGCAGGTAGAGAACTACCTCAACTATTTATGGGAAATAGAGTACTTGTGCATGGGAAATAGAGCTGAAAGCTGAATTCCTGTCACCAAAACCTGGATACCTGCAATGGTTTCTAAGATATGCAGTCAGTCAAGTTGTATTAATTTATACTGACCATGGTGTTGCATTGCTAAGGAACAGAAGTCAGCTCAGACCTATGTATGGCACGGCAATCAGACATACATAATGTAAGGAAGAAAACCGCAACAATGATTGCGCAATGATGCTGAGTGACAGCAACTCGTAGCAAGACAACAAAGTTGTCAATAAAGAGCAACTGAGAACAACATGTACCTGGGTATACAGTCACAAGATCAGGATGAGTCGAAAAGCCTTCCAAACATCAGATCAAAGTTTGAATTATGAATCTTGTTAACTCTAATCTGTGCAACCCTCGGAAAGTCTGCGCACACTGATCGGCATGCCAACGTTGTTCCCAGCATTAATCTCAGGTTTCGATAGTCGCTGCTGTGCACAGACCTTGGAGATCTGCACAGAGGAAATAGTTAGAGAGAACGTAAAGCATGATCATGGCAGATGATCAGCATATCTCAGCATGAGAGTCATTGATAACGTAACTGGCGATGTTTGAGCCTAGAACACTACCCGGGGAACACCAGAACTGATGTCCTGGGACTGAAATGATCGACCTCCAATATTTTCCTTTGTAGTAGGTATTTCAAAATAGTGCAACACTAACAGCTCCAACAAATAAACTTTGAAAAGCTGAGCTGTGGTGACTGAGTAGGACTAAATGTAACAATCTGCTCAGCTGTTCAGATGCCATCAGAGGGAACCTTGGCACTCAAATATCGGAGCAATGATTAATTAATTGCCAATCAAATACATCCTATTGTACTAACATTATTTAGGTTGAAAGCCAATCAAAACCATAAAAAAGTTATTTTAATAATTTAACATATCCAGCAATTCCTCTAGGGTAGTAATTACAGTAATACATGGCTGTTCATCAAGTCCTACTGCTTTCATGTAGCCACTAGCAGAATAGGGAAGTTGTCTCATGGATGAGTGTTTAACTCGAAAGATGTCTTCTTCCTTAACTAAGTTGCACTGTGAGAAAGCTAAGGACTTATGGATTGTGCTAAATAAATTACAAATAGTTTGCTGAATTTTCAGGATACTATGACTTACTTAATTTCTTTAGGTTTTTAAGCACCACATTGTACAATACAACTGCACTTTAAAAAAACAGTTTGTTAAAATATGTGAAAATTTGTTATCTATGGTGTTACTGGACAAATGCTTTAAACATACATGCAATACTCCCTTGTATGTTATTTAATGGAGCCATTAGATTAATGCTCTTTGTTAAAATAATGAAATGTGAAATGTCATTTGAGCCTTTTAATCTGACTAATGTCACTGGCATTCATTTTTTCTTTGGTGTAGTTTTCTTTCTTTGGGAACAGGTATTTTGACCTTTTAACACAAGAACAAAATAAGGCTCTGCACTCTAAGTCGAATTAAGATAGGAGGCCTTGACCCAGAAGTGAAGCAAATACCTGAAGTGAATAGACTTCAATTCTTTAAGAGTATTTTGAAGACGACTCTCTAGGCTGATCCCTGAAATGCCTATGAGCAGGTTGGGCCTTTCCTCATCGGAGTTTAGATGAATGAATGCGAAATATACAAGGTTCTGAATGGCTTGAAAAGGTAGTTGCTAAGAAGATGTTTTCTATGAATGGACCTTCTAGAGATAGGAGGCAGAGTTTTAAAAATAAGTAGTCTCCCATTAAAGATAGAGATGAGGAGGAATTTCTTCTCACAAGAGGGTTGTAAATATTTGGAATTCTCTTCTTCAGGGACCAATGGAGATGGATCATTGAATATATTGAAAGTTGTACTGGACAGGTTTTTGATCCCTGGCAGTCAAGGGTTTTTGGGGTTGAAAGGAGGGTGCAGAGAGATGTGGGGGCATTGGAAATCAGGCCAGTGGGCAGCGAAGTGAACTAATGGCTATAATCAGACAAGTTTGGATCTTGTCAAATGGTAGAGCAGACTCGACAGACTGATTGGCTTCCTGTTGCTCCAATGATCTTATGATTAAAATACCAAGAAGATCCTTTGAAAAGAAAAATCATTTATAACTAGTTTACTGTTTCCAACTCTCATCTTACTCACTGCAAAGATAATATTCAAAGATGAATTTAAAAGGTGGTTAATCTACTTTAATTTGTATTATTCTGTCTATATGTTGGCAACAAAGTAAAACAAAACAAGCACAACTTCTCCATGAACAAGTAAGCTGTTCCAGATTGAAATTGTATAAATATTTGATAAAGAAGTATGTAAAAGTTTACTGGAAAACAGCAGCGACATGGAAGTGGGATAAATAACTCCAGTTGAAAATTTAGTTCATTATAAGTTTCACATGCTAAATGGCGTGCTCCTATACTGTCATGTATATATGTGCATTCTTAATAATTATGTGCTGTCTTGAAAAAGCATTGCCTGGTGAAAGACTGACAGTTTCTTGTGTTACTTTTCTCTAGTTTGTCCCAGGCTTGTGACCAGTGTTTTTCTGCTGCTGATGCTGATATCTTCAGTCACATGCAAGTGCAAAGGGAAGAAGTGCAAGATTGGTGTCATCCTAGAGAATTATAAAGCAGTCATGTTTGATGAATTAAGAAGCTTAGTATGTACATGAAAGTTTTTGGATTTTATGATCATTATGAAATACTAAATTAAATAACCAGATTTACACTATCTCCATCATTTTTTTCAGAAAAATATCACAGGGATTTCTGAAAACAATGAAATGCTGAAACACCCAAAAATGTTTAGTTGTCGATCTAATAAGGTACAATGTAATATTTATTTTCTATTACATTCAATGATCAATTTCAAGCATTCTTGTAAATAATGCAATATAAAAGAATAGCTTTTCTAAAATAAACATAGATATAATTTGTATTAGGATATTTAATCAATGTATGTTTCAAATTCCTAATGCATCTATTTGGATTTCTATGGTACTGCTCTTTTAAAACAATTTCTCAGATTGAAAATCATGGTTAAAGAGTTAGGATTTCAGAGCACTGTTGAAGGCAGAGAGACAGCTAGTAAGACAAAGTAATTCAAGGCAATGACTGGGGGCTAGTCAATAATAAGTGGTATTCTGCAGACCTTACAGGTGAACAGAATCTCTCAAAAAAGTGAGACTGGATCTGAATTTAAGGACGTGATTTTAAATCATTTGTGGGAGCTGCAAAACAGTAAAGGTGACATGGGACTTAATGTGAAACAGAAGTTGAATCACACAATATAGATTAGTTGACATCTGTGGAAGTTGAAGTAGGGGAATTGGGGATCAAAGCAATTTTGAAGTTAGTTATCAAATGAAATGCCAAAATTGAGAGTTTTGGGTGCAAAAGTGGTGGAGAAGTAGGGTATAACCAAGAAATGTCAGAGGTATAACAGCATTAAAAAAAAGGTGCAGAAGCAATCTATTTGGTCCTTCAGGCTTGTCCTGCCTTTCAACAGCTGATCCACACCAGGTCTCAACTCCTCTTCCATGCCAAAACATCATTGACCTCATCTCCCTGATATTTCAAAAATCAACCTACCTCAGCTTTAAATACTTAATTATTTAGCCTCTACAATTCTTTGGGATGGAGAATTCCAGACATTCAATACAGAGAGAAGAAATATATTTGCATATTAGTTTTACCTGAGTGCCCCCTTATTCGGCAACTTTGTCTCCTGGATCAAGATTCCCACTAGAGGAAACATTTTCTCAACATCTACCCCGTCAAACGTAATTTTCTGGGCACCTGGGTTCGAATCCCACCATGGCAGATGTAGAATGTCAATTCAATAAAAGCCTGGAATTGAGAGTCCAATGATGACTATGAAACCAATGTTGATTGTTAGGAAAAAAAATTCCCATTTGGTTCATTTTAGGGAGGGGAAACTGGCATCCTTACCTGGCCAATATGTGACTCCAGACCCAAAGCAATGTGGTTGACTCTCATCTGCCCTCTGGACAATTAGGGAGGGGCAATCAATGCTGGCCCAGTCAGTGACACCTTGATCCTGTAAATGAGTAAAGCCCCCTCACAATCTTGGATATTTCAATAAGATCACTGCTCAATTTTCTAATTTCTAATGAAAAAAGGCCTAACCTGATTAGCTGTTCTCGATAAGTAAACCCCTTCATTGCAGGAATCAGCTAATGGATCTTTTTTGAACCATCCCTAATGCCAGTACATACTTTATTAAATACAGGGACCAAAACTGTGCACTGTGTTCCAGGTGCAGTCTCATCAACACCCTTTACAGTTGTCACAAGACTTTCCTTTTTGCCCCTATAAATAGATGCCAAAATTTCATTTGCTTCCTTTATTACTTGCTACACACAGATGCTAACCTTTTGTGTTTCATACACAAGAACACCATGATCCCTCAGCACAACACTTTTTGCAGTCATTTTCCATTTTAAAAAAAGTCTGTCTTTTGATTCTTCCTACTAAAAAGTGCATGACTTTATATTTTCCTAGATTAAATTCCATCTATTATGTTTTTTCCACTCATTCAATCTGTATATCCACTTGCAGATTCTTTATGTCTTTGTCACAATGCAGCCTCCCACCTATTTTTGTATTGTCAGTAAATTTAGCTACTTTATACTGTGTTGCCTCCATGTTATTAATACAGATAGTCAATAATTGAGGTCCCAAGACTTATCCTTATGGCACTCCACTGTTTGTGTTTTTCCAAACTGCAAAACAATTAATGCTGTCTCATGGTCATGTGTGTTAACCAATCCTCAATCCATGACCTCCAATACTGTGAGATCCAATCTTGTGCTATAACCTTGGTACCTTATTGAATTATTTTTTGAAATTTTAAATACTCTACATTTCCCAGTTCCCTTTATCAACTCTAGTGATTATATATCATCAAAGAGCTCTATCAAATTTGTCAAACATGACTTCCCTTTCATAAAACCATGTTGACTCTGTTTGATTTTTTAATATCCTGCTATTACTTCCTCACAAGTAGACTGTTAGCATTTTCCCTCTGAAAGTGTTAGTAATTGCCAGTGTGTCCTCCACAATCCCACACTTACTCTAGCAACACTTTCTTTTTATATTCCCATAGAAGCTCTCACTATCTATTTTTATAATTCTTGTCAATTTATTTTCATAACGTATCCGAGGCCCAACCATCTTCAGCTATTTTATCAATGACCACCCCTCCAACATTAAGTAAGAAGTGGAAATGTCTGCCAGTGATTGCACAATGTCCACAATTTGGAACTCCTCAGATACTGAAACAATCCATGTTCAAATGCAACAAGACAATATCTAGGCTCGGACTGAAAAATGTGTCGAATAATATTTGCATGACACAAATGCCAGGCAATGACTATCTCCAACAGAAGAGAATTTCACCATTGTTCCTTTGCATTCAATGGTACCACAGTCACTGAATTCACACGATCAATAACCCTAGGGGTTACCATTTACCAAAAACTGAACTAGTCATGTAAATACAGATGATGGAAATCCTGTGGCAAGTAACTCACCTCCTGGTTTCTCAAAGCCTGTCCATCACCTAAAAAGAACAAGTTAGGATGGAATACTCCCTGCTTGCCTAAATGAGTGCAGTTCCAAAAACTTTCAAGAAGCTTGACACCATCCAGGACAAAGCAGCCTTCCCAACTGGCATCACATCCACAAACATCCACTTACTCCACTCAGTACACACTGCTGCAACTATCTACAAGATGTACTGCAGAAATTCACCAAGGTTCCTTATGCAGCACCTTCCAAACCCACAACCACCACCATCCAAGGACAAAAGCAGTAGACAGATGGAAACATTGCCATCTGCAAGATCCCATCCAAGCCACTCACCATCCTGACTTGGAAATGTATGGCCATTGGGTCAAATCCTGAGTTTGCGGCATTGTGGGTCTACCGACAGCACATGGACTTGCAGCAGTTCTAGAAGGCAGCTCACCACCACCTTCCCAAGGGCAAACGGGGATGGACAATAATCGCTGGCCCAGCCATGAAAGAATGAATAAATAAAACTTTTCCCTCCTCATTGGTTTTTAAGTCATCCACTGCTGAGTCTTAAAAAAATTCTAATCCTCTGGCCTACCAGTAGTCTTTACCTCTTTGTATGCTTTCGTTCTTTTTAGGTAATCTCCTTGGCCACCTTTGTTAAGCCAACTCATCGAGTCCTTCTTTTTGATGAGAATAAATTTTTGCTGAGTTTTATGAAAAATTTGCTTTAATGCCTGCCATTACTCAGCCACTGACCTTCACCTTAATCTATTTCCCTACCTTATATCAGAAAACCTCTGTCTCATACCTCTGTAATTGCCCTTATTTAGGTTGCAGACACTACTTTGAGATCTAAGTTACTCTCCTTCAAACTGAATTTGAAATTCTATCATGTTGTGTTTACTATCCTGTAGATAATCCTTAACTTTTGTTTTGTTCATTCATGGGATGAGGGCGTCACTGGCTAGGCCAGCACTTTATTGTCCATCCCTAATTGGTCAGAGGACAGTTAAAAGTCAATTACATTTCTGTGGGTCTGGAAGCAGATGTAGGCCAGACCGGGTAAGACTGGTGGCATTGACGAACCTATAGTCTTTCCAACATCATTAGACTCTTAATTCCAAATTATATTGAATTCAAATTCCATCTGCCATAGCGTCACACCCAGGTCCCCAGAATATTATCTGGGTCTCTGGATTAACAGTCCAGCAATAATACAACTAAGCTATTACCTCCCCCTTTGAGATCTCTTATAAACCCTACCTTATTACATATGACTAGATCCAAAGTAGCCTGTTCCTGGATAAACACTTAAATAAAGAACTGCAGATGCTGGAAATCTGAAACAATTACAGAAATTGCTGGAGAAACTTAGCAGGTCCAGCAGCATCTGTAGAGAGAAAGTAGAATCAATGTTTCAAGTCCAGCGCCCCTTCTTCAGACCTGATAGTAGCTAAGTAAAGATGATATATATGCTGAAAACAGGCTGGTAGGAGTGAAAGGAGTAAGAGGATAGGTGGAGATAGGGCCCAGAGAGAAAGATAATGACAGTTAGGGAGACAAAGGAATGGATGATAGTATTCCTCAGAGGAAGAAAAGGTGACAATGGGAACCATAAGTGGGTGAAAATGGGTTGGCTATGCTGAAAGCAGCCCATATCATGACAGGGCTGGTGATGTGATGGTACATAAAAGACATAGAGGAAGGTGTTCAGATTCTAAAATTATTGAACTCGATATTGAGTCCTGAAGGCTGCAGAATCCCCAGCAACAAATGAAATGCTGTTCTTCCAAGTTGTGCTGAGCCTCGCTGGAGTACTGCAGCAGGCCCAAGATAGATGTTGGCCAGGGAACACGGTGGTATGTCGAAATGGCAGGCAATTGGAAATATCAGGTCATTTTTGCAGACACAACACAAGTATTCCACAAAGCAGTTTCCCAGCCTGCATTTTGTCTCTTCAATGTAGAAGACACCACATTGTGAGTAGCAAATAAAATAGACAACCTTGAGTGAAGTCCAGATAAATCGCCGCTTCACTTGGAAGGCGTGTCTAGGGCCTTGGATGGTGAGGACGGAGGAAGTAAATGGGCAGGTGTTACATCTTCTGCAATTGCATGGGAAGATTGCATAAGGGGGTGAGGGGAGGTGTTGGAATGGAGGAGGAGTGAACCAGGGTGTCCTGGAGGGAATCGTCTTTCACTCCACAGATGTTACCAAACCTGCTGAGTTTCTCCAGCAATTTCTGTTCCTGGCTAGGTTATGCAATGTACTGCTCTAAGAAACAATCTGT